TCGTCGTCGTCGTCGCTGTTAAACGCGGGACGAGAGACATCGAAGAGATTGAAAGAAATATCTATCTTCTTTCGTTCGATTATTTTTCGAGCTAAATTTTTGAATGAAAAAATTGGACCACGTCGATCGACAGGAAGCAAAGATTATTACGTTACGTAGTATTGTCGGTATGCAACGAACCTAAATCGTCTAACAGACATACGTATTCACTTTTTTTTTTTTTAACGCGAATGTGTCGGAGTCGAAGTCGAGCCGAAGAAATCGAAGAAAGAAAGGAGACCGTGTGTAGATACATCGTCGTTTTGTCGATCCGGACACATTGTTCCTTCTGCTTGCTCGTCACGTCACTTTGTTTGATCTCACGTCCACTCGACCGAACGATTTATCGGCAAACGGAGTAGAGGAGAAGATACGTGTAAATAGTTTAGCCGGAAAACTCGTCGACGGTGCGCGATTTAAAGATTTTCCATTGTCGAAATTTAATAGGCGATATATGACATTTCCTCGTACGATACGTACTCGCAGAGATTCTTTTACGTGGTAAACAAGTTAAACTTGCACAATTTAGATAGAGTAGTTGGTTGCACCGTGTCGACCGATCGAAACTCGAGATTCGCTCTTGTATTCTATTTGCAGTATTATTTCTTTCAAAAATTACATTACTACCGATTTTTGTTAAGAATGTTAACTTTCTTCGTAGGCAGGCATTCTTTTGCCGCGAGATGCTACAACGATCACTATTTCTTTTCTTCTTCGTATGACATTTGTACGCGTCCTGTATGCATTGTATTTACGTGTGCGTAACATGTACATAGTTGTAAGACATGTATGTATGTATGTATGTATGTATGTATGTATGTATGTACATAGGCAGGAATAATATACGAACGAGTATCGATATTTTATTGTAAGTATGTCCGACGAGGCTGTGACTTTTTAATGGATAATGGCGAATATGTCGTAAATAAAGTATAGTTTTGCCGACGGTCATTGGTGTTCGTTAAGGTTTCGATCGAAGCTTGCGTTCGTCATCGTCCACCCTCCTGGCACGTTCTATATATTTACTTGCTTACCAGCTGCATTTTAACTGTGGCTACACTAGCTATACGTAAATATAGTATTCGACAGAAGAGATAGATACAGCAGTGGAGACGAAGAGTACGAGCGGACGCTTAAGTGGGCGCGAGTCGCGAGTCGAATGGTGCTACCGATCGGGCAAGTTTCTTAAACAACGAGACGTAATCGATGGAAGAACAATTGAAAAGAGTTTGAAACAATTGAGAAGAGTTTGCGAGAAGAAAAAAAAAGAAGGGGGAGGAGACAAAGGGTGGGAAGAGGCGATATATTCAGAGGGTCGGTGTCGAACAATGGCCACGTGCCCACGCACTATTCTTCCTCTTTGACAATTAGGCTCGCTGCTGTCTGTGGATTTTCAACATTCGCAAAAGAGAGAGAAGAAAAAAAAAACCGGTAGTGGCTAATTATCTTCATCGATCTCGTAACGAGCACGGTTCCTCGCCAAGGTATTCTCCACGAAAGGTTTAACGAGCGAAAAAACTGGTTCGAAACACCCCGGGACGCTTATTACTTTGTTTCTATGTGTTGCGGGCACGTCTGGTCAAGCTTTCAAAGCGGACCTTTGCATAAGAATGCGCACGCTTGGTCGCCTAGTTCTGCAGAAAACTCGCAGAAATTACACGGGAATTGGCGAAACAGGCTGAAGAGAAAAGAGAAAATTTCTAAAGCTTTTAGCTCGTTCAACCCCGAGAAGGATGCAATGAACACGCCACAGATTGTTATTCTCACTTTATTGCAAAAATCTTTGAGCGTTTTCTCTTTAATGGCACTTGGATGGCACGCGTTCGATCGACATTCTTTTCTTTTTCTCTTTTTTTTTTTTTTGGATTCGATTATTATCACAAGCGAGTCATGTCATCGCGTCGAAAGGAATATATATATATATATATATATATATATATATATATATAAAGAGAAAAATAAAAAAAAGTAGAAGCAAGTACGAGCGATCCTCGTCGCGTTTCCTTATTTACAATAGATAGATACACGTTTTAAGTTAGTATACAAGTGAGTGTATGTACAAATTGTACAATCGCGGCGTCAGTCGCGTCGAATCGAATATACATTATGTATACGTATAAATAACATCTTTTTTTAGGAGTTAGTTATTAGGTACTCGCATGACTATCGTACGTAACGTACCGTATTACACCGTAGAAAAATAGTGTTCCGGGAGGGGGAGAAAGTGGGGAATAAAACTGGGCGAGGAACGAAGAAAAGGTTGCCACAGGTTGCAGCAATGGTGGCACGGTGGATTTCGATTTTTCAAAGGGAACATGATGTGGGAAAAATTGGTCGGTATCTAAGGATAGATGGTGTCTCAATAGGCCAGTTCAGCGCCCCACGGCCTGTAAGGTTTGCCGTGTTGTTGTTGGGGGTACTGGCCGGAATACTGGCCCCATCCGAGTAGCGGTGGCATTGGGCCAGCGCCAGGTGGAATGCCGGCGGCGGAGACGGTGCTGGCGGTGCCGGTGGTTGCCTCGTAGCTGCTGCTCGTCGAGGTCGACGTCAGACTGGTGACCGGGGGCACGGCCGAGGCCACCGCGGACGGAGGATGCTCGCGGTGAAAGCTCTGCAGGTGAGAGAGCAAGCGTAACCTCAGTGGATCCCTCTCGTCGAGGCCCTCCATCGTGACCAAGTAGCGGCCGACCTCAGCCGCGCACTCGCCCCAGCCGACCGCGTGGTAGTCCATCGCTAGCTTCGTACTGTCGTATCCTTCGGGACCTTGAAAATCGTTGGGAAACGAATCGTCAGACGTGGTATTGTAATAAACTCGAAGCGGTATATATCTCGAGTCGTTTACAATGGATATTTCTGATCCGGGGAGGAGAAAAGGGTGACAAGGGTGTGTGGAAGTGGAATAGTTGGACAAGTTCGGCAGCCGGCAGGATATAGTTGTAAGGATATCGTGGAGTCGTACGTGCGCGAGAGAAATGGGAGTACAGGTAGCGTGGGAACCCCCCGTAGACGGTGGCATATGCGCGTTCGAGGTAAAATCCTAACTGAGAATCGACAGATCTCTCCACGCTGCGTTCATCAATCTCTTAAACTTTTTTATCTTCCCGTCGTTCTTATCTCTCCTTAACAGGGCTTCCTCGCAGTTGCTGCAACGCATGAAAACAAAATCTCGCGCGACGCGTCGAGAAACGAAGTTGCAAACGACGTGAAAGAGAAGAGATAGGTAGGTAAGAGACAAGGTACGCACGACGCAGAGCACGCATGTGTGAGAGAGTAGCTGTGTGCATGCAGGCGCATAGCATAGATATAAAACGGGAGTCGGTTTCCCACAGAGTTCGACATCTGCCCCGACGACCGTGGGCAACGCGGCGGTGCCTCCTTGACGAAGGGTGCCACGCGGGACACCCCACTACTAACCTAACTCGCCACCAATCGTGGGAACACCACTTCGGAAGAGTCGTTGACTTCCTGTGCTTCCCACAGGATCTCCGATTCGGCTCCAGCTCCTCCCTACCACCTGCTCGCCCCCTCTCCTCTCTCTCACTCTAAAGATATCTCGTTCACCGACGAGGCTTCGAATTCGCGAGAATTGCATACCGTTCTTTCTTTATTTTTCTTTTCTCTTCCACTCGATCGACATAGATAAGTTCTATCTATTTTATTATTTATTCGAGTGCCAGCTCTCGAAAGCGCGTTCTCTTATTGTTTAAATCGTGTGTTACTGTTACATCGTGTTTTTATTATTGTTATTGTTACACGAGTGTCTATCATTTGGACTGCAACAAATAACGCCTCGATCGCGGCATATTCTAGGAGGTTCGACGCAGGAACAGCAGATGGTTTTTCGGTTATGTCAAGTCCTGCCAGGAAGTTGTACGGTCAACAGGTGTTTTCCCGGGCAGCAGAGACGAAAAGAGAAAAGAGATACGGGAAAACGTATCGTTCTCGGCGATTATTCTCAGTTTAACACGTAGATTTCTTCCAGGGCCACGAATCCAAAACTTACTCCCCCTTGTTCTTTCGCATTTTTCATTTTTTTACTCTTCCGTCTTTGAGCTTTCGTTTTGTTGTTCTTTTCTTCTTAATTAAATTTACCTGCTCGTCAAATTAGAAGTCTTTACAAACTTTTTGCATCCCCCGAGAGACCATTTGGAGACAACGGGACTCAACTAAATCTCAGTTAGTTTCGTTGAAAACGTTTCCCAACACATCGCCAACGACTTGTGCGTTACAGTATTATGTATTTTTTCATACAACTATAAAAGTAGTTGTGACTTTTCTTCAGAGTAATCTAACAATTTACTATATTATTATCACATCGTTGCTTTTTACAATTCAATTCGTTTAACACTAGAACTACCACACCAGTCAAAATGACGATGGTTTTACAATTTTATATCAAATATTTCTACTTCATGTTACATTTCTTTTCCCGCAATGATGTAATGACCTTCGCAGCAATAATATAATTTTTATTTTATCTTTATTTATTAGGAATCAAAATAATTTTGCATCGTTGTATAAATATGAAAAATATTCTATTACGTATTTTTGAAGGACCAGTTTCATTTTGACTGG